CCCACAACAACCATTAGATCCCAGCTGTGAAAGCCTTCGCGAATACGGTTTGATTCCTGCTATGCCTCCAGGGAGAAGAACCAGCATGTGTGGCCTTGGGCAAGCTGCACAGTCCAACAATGTGCCCAGAAAAAAAGGAATTGGAACCCATTTCTCAGTACTCTCTACCTAGAAGACCCTGAAAAGGATTGCCATTAATCAGAATTGACTTGACAGCACTTCATGATGATGATTTCCTTCCATCTCTTACATGTTTCTTCCTTCTCACAAAACCACTCCATGTACGGAAAACAGCCTACCTTCAGAAGTTCCATGGCATTAGAGGAATGGAAAGTTGCCAACAGGATGATGCAATGAAACTCTGTACCTGTTAGTGTGAGAACAATGCCCAGATTACAATCTTTATCATACCTTGTGTCTTGAAAGTCCAAAATCTCACATGCAATGCGTCCTAAACCTCACCCTAGTATCTTGCCTCATACCAGAAGTGGGAAGGAATGTTGAAAGTAGGGCGGACTGGTGTAGCTGTAAGTTGAATCTAAATCAAAGGTGGGCAAATGGATGCCTTTGGACTACAACACCCATAATCTGTCACTATTGGCTAGCCTGTCTAGGGCTGTTGGCAGCTGTAAGTCAAAAACATCTGGAGGCCAAAACCTATTTCCACTCCAATCTACAAAAAAGCCAGTTGTGAACATCTGGTCACATAGCAATGTGACCAAGAAACAAAAGGCAACAATAAGGCTATACAAATGAGCAGGATAAGTTTCATTATTAAGTTGCAGCTTCTAGGAGAAACTAGTTCTACGGTGCAAGATTGTCATTTCTTCCGATAATGTTATTGATAATGGCTAGCACTCCCATCTATGTACAGTGCAGCCTTTGTGCATACTCAAATCTGTTCTCCCTTTTTAAGGGAGGCTCTCCAGCCCCAGCAGAGATTCTGCATAGAGACACACATACATACAGTACCAGTGTTTTGTGCTCAGGAAGAACAAAGGGAAGCATTACATCCCTTTAAGCACAGATCCTTGAACTGGTCTAGAGGCATATGATTCCTGCATTGGCTGGAGGCTAAACTTGATGACCTTTCCACTTCCTTCCAGCTCTATAATTCTACAATGCTTCGTCCTGTACTGGCCAGGATTTCTGGAAGTTGTAGTCCAAGAACATCTGGAGAGCCAAGGCTTGGAACCACTGGTCTAGACAATCTAGTTCATCCAGGAACATCTGCATCTGATCAGACAGCCTTGCCCAAGAACAGATTGTTTGTTACTGGATGGTAATAGTGCAACCCTTCTGGGGAGGGCTTCTTCTTAAGAGGATAAATCATCTCCTTCCTTTGATAGAACTCTAAGACAATGGTTCTCCGCTTTTAGACTGAAGAAGTCTAAAGCATCTGGAAGATCAAAGGCTGAGAAGAACCACTGATCAGCCCATTACTGGCTAATAGGCAGTAGCTCTGGGGAGAATCAACCAAAGAATTTCCCAACACCAGCAGGACTCCTACTGTCAGATGCTTTTAGCTGGGAAGATAAAGGATTAAGCCTGGGGCATTGTGTATGCAAACCTACAGTCCCTCCTGGAAAGGCAGAAGCCTATGTGTATTTGAACCCACATGAGTGCAAGGGCTTAGCTGCCTGCTCTAACTTTCATTTGGCCATTTCACTGACAATGGGGAACATCTGAGTAAGGTCCATAGAGCAGAGAGGGAGCAAGCAAAACATTTTGCTGCCTGAGGCAAAGAGCAAGAGAGTGCTTGCACCCTATTCCATAGCCAACAGCACCAGCAGTTGGATATTCACGCCAACCCTGGCGGTGCCCTTTCACCACACCGGAGGACAGTCAAACAGAAGCACAGACCAGGCTGTGTGCAAGCCTGGCCCAAGTCATCCTGCTGCCTAAGGCCAAAGAGCAAATGGTGCTCCCACTTTCGGAAGATGTCTAGTTACCAAAGCCATCCAAGTTCCTTTGACACCTGAGGCAGAACAGGCACAGGCACAGCTCTCATCCCCCTCCCTGGCAGAAGAAATACCAGGATAACAAAGCAAGCAGCTCATCATTTGCTGACCCCCCCCCGCCTCCTTCCCCAAATCTGCCGCCTGAGGCACATCCCTCCCTCTGCTTTATAGCAGAGCTGGCTTTCCTGTGCGACGACACACCCTCTCCCTCCACCGCAAGCCGGCTCAGGAGGGAAGGCGAGCAGGGTCGCCTTCCACAGCTCCCCGATCTAATACAGTATGTATTAGAGCCGGCCTCGGGAAGGACAGCCATGCACAAAAAACGTCCCGAGCATCCTGAAGAAAAGACAGAATTTAAAAACGTATTAAATAAACAGATAAGCAGCATTCCTAAAAGGAAGCAGCCCTTTCCTAGCCTTGTCTTTCCGAATCGCCCTGCCATCTCTTCTCCATGATCCAGGATGAGGCCATTTCCTTGGCACCGCTTCCCCTCTTCGTGGGAGAGAGGCTACCTAACCCAGCCACCCAACCCCAAGCTTCAGGAGCATCCCCCGCCCCGCAACCCAGCCCTTTTTTACCTTTCCTTTTCTCATGCACAGATCACAGCTCCATAATCCCGGGCCATCCCCGCTTTCTCCAAGGAAAGCCCGAACTAAAAATGGTTCTCCCTCCGGCTACCGTCCCTGCTTCTTTCTGGCAAATCTTGTCCTGACGGCGCAGCAAGCAGCTCCTCGGCCGGATCCAACCCCACCTCCGCCGGCCCAGCAGGGACTGGGAAGGGAAGGCGGCCTCCCTGGCTCGCCGTCGTCAATACCAGAGCCCTCTGCTGGCCAGCCCTCACCACGGGCTCGCCAATGTCACCCCCCCACACACACACACCCCGCCCCAATCGGCCTCACGCTGGCTCCCCAAACCTGTGGGGCTACTAGCCATCGTTAGCCGCCCGGTGGCCCCTGATTTGTTTCAATGCCTACTCTTCTCTCCCCTCACAGCTCCCCCCGCTGTGGAGGCCAGGAAGGCAAATGGGTTGCCGGCCAGCCATCTTGGCCCATGCCAGCCGGTGCCCCCTTTCCTCCTCTTAACTTGTCTACCTGTGTGGGTTATGTGTGTGCATGAGAGAAGGTATTTTGAGGTGCACGAATGCCGACTTTTGACCCATTCCTCTCTCTCTCTCTCTCTGCTGGTATCCTGCCCGTTCACCACAGATGGCTGTGCCCACTGCCTCACCAACCACAACAGGCCCCTGCGGCCACTGTTTTCTGCAGTAGCAAAGCTGAGTGCAGAAAAAATACTTTTATGTTATGATGCATCTAAGCCAGAACTCAAGCTTCTGTAGCCAAGAAATTCTTCTTCCTACACTCCCTTCCACCTTTATTTTGCCTTGAACAACCAGTCGTAACAATCCGTACTATACATATTCTGCATTTGATGTGTTTGTCTTGTTCACTGGTCACCCTCTCAACTCAAGGAATTCTGAGCTCCTGACATAAATCCAAATTTCAAACGCTTCCTTTTAAAATAATAATAACTTGCTCGAAGTCCACCAGCCCCGGAAATGTTCTCAAAAACAAGTTTGCTCAGAAAAAAAAATTAAGTCTGGAATCAGTGGGACTCAGGTGTGCTTAGCTTTTAGCCTGTGCTTAGCTATATTTTAAAGCCAAATTTAATGTTTAGTGCAACATTGTAATTGTTTTAATAAAGCAAGAAGATACATTAAATAAACACTAAGATCAGATAAAATAAGCCAGCTACCAAATATATATATCTCTCAAAATGATGTATTCTCACATCACCCTCTGGGTGGCCCATAGTTTGATTTTTGCGCGTGAGATGGCTTAAAATTTTTGCACGTGAGATGGCTTAAAAGTTTGGGTGGTAGCAGAGAGCTCTCAGGCCTCTTTGCCCAAAGCTCATTACCTCAGGGTGAAGGGTTTCTGCACCTGCAGCCACCAGCTCTGTCCCCATTCCCAGCCTCTCACTCCTGCCTTTCTGGAGCCGCTGATGGTGCCATTTGGAGCAAGGCAGGAAATGGAGCACCAGCACTGAGAACTTGGAGAAGTCTTACTGCACAACCCCAACCGCAGTGGTGGAAGGAAACTCCTCCATCACAACCCTAACTGGTCCTCCCCAATAACTTACTAAGGATCCGACTCCCATTGTGAGGTTTGTCCTTGAAATGTCAGCAAATCGGATGATACCGAGCCAGCCTATTGACCAAACAGATCACTTTCTACATTTGGTTCCCAAACTTTTAAGCCATCTCATGCGCAAAAACCAAACTATGGGCTACCCAGAGGGTGATGTGAGAATACTTCATTTTCATGTGTTTCATGATTGCTTGTTTTTTTAATACATTCTCCTTAGCACTGCTTTGCTGGTCACTTGCTTGTCCTGAGAAATTCATAGCAACCCTTCTAGTGTCTTAATCAGGGCCTTTATTAACCCCAATGCTGAGCCTCTAGGCTTTCAGGTATTTCAGGCCCCCTCCAGCACATCAGTCTTTCACCCCACTACAACTGACAGCCTGACCCTGCTCAATTGTGTGGCCCCTAATCCCAGCCTTGTGAATAAATAATACGGCCCAGGTCCCCAGAACTTAAAATTGACCTGATTGGCACATAACACACATTGAAATATACCTAAAGCCAGCCATCTTATTTTGGCGCTGCAGGTCAAAACAAAACAAAAACCTGCAAACATCTCTCCCCAAACCTAGTAATAAAATTACAAATACTGTACAGTATAGCAAATTAAATAATTTTCATTTTCAATAATTTTCAGAATCAGTTTAATTTTTCACGATCTTGAAAATCTCCAGCAACGAGCCTACCATTTCCTTCCTCCTAATAGTCGGCCCGGCCCAATAAAATAAAATAAAAGGTCCCTGTGTTTCCGGAGAACTGCTTGGCCCGGCGCTTATTACTTTTCCGCTATCAAAAAAGTCGGCGGCGGTGCAGGTGGGAGGCTCCTTCGCGGTGGCCACCAGGGGGCGCCGAGCCTCCCTCTGAGAAGCCGCGGCCCCCCCGCTCTTGCCTCCTTTCTCTCTCGTTCGATCTCTTCCTCGGTTCCTCTGCCCGAATCAGCGACGGCTTCCGGTCTGAGCAGCTGCTCGGCCACCATATTGGGATTTGTTGCAGCAACCAGAGGGGACCGAGAGGGAGAGCGAGGCCTCGGCTCTGTCGCTCCTTGCGGCCGCCCGAGGAAGGAAAGGAGGCAGTCCGTGGATCTGGTCCAGCACCAGCCATCAAGGCCTGATTGAGGGGGGAAAAGTTACCATTACGGGCAAGTTTTTTTTTAAAAAAAATCCAATTAATTAAAGAAGTCAAAGTCCTGAGGGGGGTCCTGTAGGAAAGTGCAAGGAAAAGGGCGGGGGAGTGATGGACGTCGGAAAGGGCCAGGGTAATATTGGGCTGTGGGGAGAGGAAAAGTGGGCGTCAAGGGGTCCTGAAGAGGCCTATTCTGTGGGTTTGCCTTTGTCTCTATAGGGAGGAGCCAGATCGTGGAGGACCGAAAGAAATCAGAGGGAGAGAGAGGGAGGGAGGGCATGGCATCAGAAATGGACAAAATAAATTTATTTATTTATTCTATTTATATCCCGCCTATCTGGTCAATATGACCAAATGAGGGGAAAGATCGTTTTTATTCAGAATAATCGCCGGATCTTGAAAGAATGTCAGGACAAGAGAATTGTAGGAGTAAGGAAGAGACCTTTTATAGGAGACAAGTGACAGGGTTGTGTTTTTTGTTTTTTTGTTTGCTCTGGAACAACCACTTCCGGCTTTTGGAGGCACTTGCCCGTCTCTTTTGCCCGCAGGCGGTAGGGAGGAGGAGACAGGGTTGGTGGGGGCTGAGTCATAATCACTCCTGCAACAGTTGTGTGCCCTGGCATCATCTTTTCCTTAGGGTTGTGGCTCAGCAGCCTGTTGAGTAATCTCTACCCAAAACAAAACAAAAAGATTTGAGGTTGCAGAGCAGATCCTCTGTACCTGACTTCATGGGCTGAACAAAATGTAAAGAGATGTGAGCTTGGAAAAGTTGTTATGGTTTTCCAGACTACAGCTCCCAGAATCCCCCAACATGCTGACTAGGAGAGTGCCTTATGGAACAGGAAACAACAACTTTCTGCGTTCCTCACCCAGAGGCGCACATATCTGCCAGAATTCTTCCAATAATTCTGGAAAGCAGAAAACAGCAAATTGTGTTGGTGGCAGTTCTTCAGTCTAATACATTTGTTGTGACGACAAGATTTTATGGAGTGGAATTACAGTATCAGACATGAAATATTATGCAGAGTTAACAGATATATGGCTGTATATCTCTTCAGATTATTTCTGTAATTAAAGCAACAGCAGAGGGGGCAGGAATGCACTTTCAGAACTACTGAACAGGGCTTCTGTCATGTGTGTTGGACATCACTATATAAGCTGGATTTTACACTCAATGGTTACTGTGCAGAGGCAAAATAAGTATTTGATCTACTTCATTGCTGGGATATGATTGTGCAGAGGCAAAACAAGTACTATTTGATCTACTTCATTGCTGGGATATGATAAGTAACATACTGTACCTGTATATTGAGAGCGATAGTAAAACAAAATAGTTGATCACTGAGGTGGGAAGGAGTGCATTATAACCGAAGATGGCATCTATATCACCATGGCAGTCAGAATATTTAAATCAGACTTAACAAAACCAGAAGCTAGGAAGGAACTAAAGAAAGCTGGGAGAGTGATGATTGTTTACATTGACTTCATGTACTTGAATGAGATGGTATCTTTGAGTATCTTTTATTCCCACGTACTGTGAGTACATCTGCATGTGTACTGCAAGACATCTGCATTTTAGAAGGCCATAGTTCCTTTTAAGAGGTTACTTCTAAAGATTTTTCAGTGTTCCTACTGGATCATTACTTATAAACACACACTACCAGTTAGTACATACATTTTAACAACCGCTGGAGCCATACTGTCTGTGGCAGAAGTTTCCACAGGAAACACACAGCTGACCAACATGATGCAGTTAATCAGTTCCAGCCTGGTCCTGTGTTGTTGATTGTTGGGAGTGCTCCCAAAGTAAATGTGTTTAGCCTTCATCTCTCTTCTTTGGGTGGGACAGTGCCTTCTGCATTAATATTTCTGTCAAAAGAGTGAGTAACTTGCCTCCACTTGAGATAAGGGCTTGTCTACACAGCCATTTTGGAGCAGACTGTAACATTCTCCTCCATGATGTCACTTGACATCATGGAGTAATTTACTGGGTCCCACTAGCCTACTCTCAGAAGCAGGAGGAGACAGGAAGGGGCAATTTGGGGGATTTTTTTGCTAGCTCTTCTTTATAAAGCCAGCACACGCATGCACACATAGAGGGCTGCATGCACACAGGAGGGTTCAGTTTCCCAAAGGCAGTCTCTCCACGGTGCCTTTGGAAACCTCCCTCTTGTCTCCTTCTATTGCTGCCATTGGTCCGCACTTAACTCTTTTAATGAGCCAAGTCGAGGGACATATAGACATACAGCATGTGCTCAGGAGGGTTAGGCTTCCCAAAGGCAGCCTTTTCACACTAACTTTGGAAACTAAACACTTCCATGGAGCCAAGGAAGTGTTTAATTCACCTATATCATGAAGTGGCTCTCTTGTTAAGTCACCTTAGCATATTGGCAAATTGAAAGAGGAGGGCTTCCTTTGGTCCATTCCCAGTGGTCACATGTGCTGGAGATGAACCAAAGTAGAGTGATCCTACTCTCACTAAAAAGATAGAAACCCCCTGACAGGTATGGGCGGACATGCTTTGTTGGTGGGCTGGTGTGCTCTAGTAAAGACCTTGTCTGATTGCTGTCTTTAAGAGCACAGTAAATGAGGATTCAGCAGTCCAAACAGTGTAGTGTAATAAGTAGAATAGCGGACTGGGAATTGAGAGATGCAGGTTTTACGCCTCTTTGGGCCTTGGGAAAAAAAACTTTGGTGGCTTATCTGGAGCTGGTCTGTCTGTCTCTGCTTGACTTACCTCTCAGGGTTGTGAGGATAAAATGGAGTGGGAAATCACATACTCCCATCTTGAACCTGTAACAAATAATATTTCTAGATGCTTCCCCCCCCATGTTGGCTGGAGCAGGATTATTTTGTGTGTGTTTATTTATTTGTTTATTTTGCTGTTGTGTTTGCAGGATCTGAAAGCTTCTTGTGGACTTGTCTCCAAGCCCAGGGGAAGTCAGAAGAAGGGCTTCAAGTGACATCATGGAGGAGAATGGAGATGACGTGACTTCCCTGGGTAAGGATCTCTTCCTTCTCAGTGCAGAGTCTCAGGACGGGAGGGTTTAAATCTGGTTAGAAAGTTTGTGATGCCCTTTGTCCCAAGGTACATTTGTATTGTCGTTCCTTTCAGAGATTGGTTCCTTGCTGCAGAGACTCTGAAGTGCAGGAGCTAAACAAGAAGGTCAGATTTCTAGAGAGTTTACTCAGGCTATTGGTAGTTGGCACCATGAGTTTTTGCAGGGAGACTGCCCATCTTGCACGGAGCCGTGGTCATATTCCTTTTTTTTTTTAAATTCAGAGGTGCTGTTGTTGCATTCGGGCAGGAGGGGGCAGGCAGCTGGCATTTTCCCAGCCCTCTAGTAAAGTCTCTGCAATCTGTATGGTGTTAGTGCTAAGAACATGTTGATTCCCTTTCCAGTTACAGTGCAGCAAGAGGTGATGTTAGAAGAGTGCCACTAATACACTATGTAGGCAAGCAAGATCTGTTAGCACAGTGTTTCCATCTGTACTACTGCACTGGGCTTGACTTCTTGTGGTCCACCTTCTTGTGGTGATTAAACAGAAGTAATGTGAAGAGTGGACTTGGCCCTGATGTCATAAGGCTTTTATATTGAGCTTGATTGTTGCCATCTTTGGGGTTCCATGTTCTTACCACTTACATGTTTGCCTCGGTCTGTGATCTTCATGGAACAAATTATGGAACTGTTGACCTCCTGCATCCCATTTCTTGACCACACAAATATGGACTTTGACTAGAATGTTCCTTAGTGTCTAACTGTTGTTTATCTTGGCTGTGCCTGTAGCCACTGGCAAGCTATGGCAGAGAATGAGAAAAATGAACAGATCTCTATCAGAACCAGGTCACTGTTCATATACTGTATGAAGCTGCATAGATAGCTGTCAGATCCAATGCTGTTTTATGTCTAGGAAGCTCCAGATTAAAGTATATACAGCATATGCAGTTCAGTTTTAAGCTCTGTACCAAATCTGAATCCTTGGTAAATGCTTTAAAACATGGTGGAAGAATTTAAGACTGAGGTTGTAATCCCACCTGCTCTGTTTGAGGAGTAGTCCATTGCACTAGGGCAGTCATTCTCAACTTTGGGTCCCCAGATGTTCTTGGACTAAAACTCCCAGAAGCCTTCACCACTAGCTATGCTGGCTGGGATTTCTGGGAGTTGTAGACCAAGTACATCTGGGGACCCAAAGTTGGGAAGCGTTGCATTAGCAGTTTGTCAGTTGTCAGGCTCTGGTAAGGAAGTAATCCAGCACATTTTTATGCAAGTATAAGTGGGTGGCTTTCAGTGATCTCCTCTGACACCACAAAGATCATGCAGGGCAGAGTGGAATAAGATTCTGATTGGAGAAGTTTTCCCCTTTTCAGTGTAAGATTCTGGCTCTCACAGAAGATGCCAGTAGAATGTTAGCCTTCTTCCCATTAGTTCTGGTGGCAGCGGTTTTCCTGTGGAGAATTTGGGCCTTTCTGTTTAGGATTTTTAGGGAGGCGGCACCTACGTGAATGGGAGAGCAAGAGCCATTACAGACTGAGTGGCCAAAAATTGTGGTTGTTGAGAAGGTACTCATCCTGAAAGCCCAGAATCTTTAGAGTGCTGCTGCTGCTGCAGATATTTACTGTTCATAGGTGAGCAACCTCGGCTGTCTGTTATCATAGAAAGACATGTATTACTTCACAGCGATGTGAGCCAAAATAGTCAGAGGAAAGCCTTTAACAGAAGCCACCTTATTGAAAAGGTGGTATGTGGATTAGCTATCGGTCAGGTATGTCTCTTGGCCCTTGCCCAGAAGAAGGTTGCCTCTTTGGACTGAGGAACACTTTGGAGTTTGCTCAGCCAAACCAATTCTGCAGCTCACTGAGTGCAGAATTCCAGTGACGCAGGAATGTCCCCAAGCACCACATTCCAACTGGGTCTTCCACGAGTTGATTCTTAAAGTACCTGATTCGTTTGTTTTAGCTTTGATGAGTATTTGGTATAGAACCTGGACTCACAATAATATTTGTATTTTTGTTTTCGTAAAGCAAGATTCAGACTTCAGGGCTTCACAGAGGTGGTGTTATATGAAATGTCTGAAGCACTGCCTCTCCCTCATGAAACTCAGTCCTATTTTCCCACCAGTACTCCAGTCTTGCTCTTCATACATCTAGGAGTCTTCACCTCTAATTGTATCTGTTTTTCTTTTCTCCTTGAGCGGCCTACATTTCAACAGATGGCAGCTATACAGGTGAGTCTTTGTTCTATTGCATGTCATTCAGCCCAGGTTAAGAGCCAGGCATGTCTAGAAATGCACCCTTAAACCGTTATGTGATTGATTGGAGTATATTGTGGGGAAATTTGCTTTGGCTTCTTGCATCTTCATCATTCTCATTCTTATTTTGGTCAAGGGTTTAGAATAATGAAGGTTACGCCCGCTTCTTACGTTACGTTAGACACGTCTTACCGCACCGTCGTCACGTATCTTTTTTTTCGTATTTCGGAACGCAGACTCCCGTGTCATGTTCTTGAGGCTACACGTGTTTTCTTTGCAGGCCAACTTGCGGGAACAAAGATGCGAGGTGCGTGTCTCTCGTAACGTTGGCGTAAGAGGCACATGTCTCCACGGGGGAATTGCCGGAGTTGACCATAGAGTGCATTGCACAGAGTGGCCCACCTCTCTAGCCGCACACTAAATCCTTATGAGCTTCTTTGTTACATCCCCCCTCCCACTAGTGCTCCTTTTGCTACACTCAAATGCCATTGCAAAGTTTTTCTGCTGCCATTTAAAAAAACAGTCCTGCTGCTAATCTCACCATGTCATCACTGGAGCACACCCTGTTGTCTGATACCCTTCCAGAGACCGTTCCGATGCCGAACCATGGCAACCTGGCGGCTTCATCTCAGGGCTCTTCCTCTGCCACCAAATCAAGGCGCCAGCCTGTTTGGACCGACGAGGAGACCCGGGCCTTCATCCAGGTGTGGGGTGATGATGCTGTGCAGAGTGCCCTGGCCTCCAACTACCGCACTGTTGCGCAGTTCCAGTGGATAGCAGATGAAATGCGAGCCCGGGGATACAACCGGGACTGGGAGCAGTGTCGCGAACGTGCCAAGGTGCTACGACGTGGCTTCAAAGAGATCGTGGATGGGAACAGCAATGCGGGCCACGGGCGCCGTGTGTGGCCATATTACGAGGAACTCAATCGCTTCCTTTGCATCAAGCAAAATCTGGTTGTCCCGCGGCTTTCAGGGAGCAATGCCAGGCCACCTGTTGACCGCCGACGCCGGGAGCACAGGGAAGCTCAGGATGCTCCCTATGAGCCACCGTTATCGGCAGGCAAGGGTGACAAAGGGACCTTTGAAGAGCCCGATGGAGACTGTTTACTGTTGCCGGAATCTGCTGGATCACAGCAGAGTGAGCCTAATATGGAAAATCAAGTGGCATCTCCAGCAGCAAACTCGGACATCTCCATGGAGGGGAGTGTCGGCCCCGGCACACCCACAGACCCTTTGCCACCCAATGATTCAGTCACTGGTGAGTTCTTTTTGAATTTGCCATGTATTTATGATGGGAAAGAGCTTGGTGTAATCTTTTGCTGTTTCAACCGTCTGTGGCCTTCTGGGCTTCTGTAAAAAATTCTCTCTGAAACTAAGTTATAAGAACCTTGCTATTTTGCAGCACAGTTTGAGACATGTATATGATTTATTGTTTGGCACACCAAGAGAAATCAAGTCATGATTTCAGTCCCTACCTGTAGTCAGAGATAAAAAAGCAGAAATGACAGGTTTCACTTGAATACAGGCTTGGGGGAGCAGTAGGTTCAAGCCTTCAGTCTTTTCGGCTAGAAAGTGGATGCATGGAAAATTGAACAGTGACTGTTCAAAGTTTGGAGGTCCAAGCCGGAGGCTGACTTCTCTCTTTTCTGACATGGACTATCTGGGTGTGTAGTTCTAAAGGTGTGTGTAGGGTATGGGCATGTGCGCACACAAAGTAACAATTTCTTATTGTCTAACTCCTGGTATTGATATAGTCCAGCTTCTGGTACCCCCCTCATCCCACTGCCATGCATTATTAACCCTGTGCAGTTTCTGCTCTTTGTTCCTCCAGCGACAAATCTACGCCCCCGACCCTTGACGGCTGCTGAGCGAATGCGGAACCTTCGTTGCAGGCAGAGAAAGAGGAGGGGGGACACCTTGAAAGAGCTCATGGAGGTCACTTCCCAGGCTACCAGCGAACTCGTACGGACCTTGTCTGACCTCACGCACAAAGAGGTGGCTTCCTTTGAGCGTGCCTACAAAGAGGATCTTGCTGCCCGGAAGGATGAAATGGAGCAGAGTGCCGAGGACATTGGAAGGCTCGTCAGTGCTCTGGAATCGAGCGATCAGACCCTAAAAGAGCAGCTGAGCAGCCAGACCAGTGTCTTGCAAGGCATACTGGAAGTTATGAAAGACATAAGGGGCAGAACGTCATACAGCCCTCCATACCCTTCACAGTATTACGATTTCCCAGGCCCTAGCATGATGCATACGGCGGGTACCTCCTCAAATGGCCAAGAGATGCCCTGCCCCTCCCCTTCCAGCCTTGCATTCACATCCCAGCAGTCTGCAACCAGCAACGGAGATGTCTCCCCCAGGAAGCGGATGAAATAAGAACAGAGAGGCACGGCGCCTTTAAGTGTCATTGTGCAAAACCATCCCTTCAGCTATTCTCAGTTCTTGTTATGACATATATATATATTATTGCTTTCTTATCGTCCTTTCTTATTGCATAGTTAGATTGTGTTCTCACCATGTTATGTGTGTTGCCCCACAACATTGAAAGTTGTGGAACTGGTTGCCAGCTCTGTACATTTCAATTTATTCTCATTTGGTTTGTTTTGGGTTATTTTGGGTTTTTTAGGCTACCGAATTAGTTTTCCTTCCATCCTGTTTCCAGAGGAATGCAACATTTGATGTAAAAGGTTTTTTTAAAGTCATTTAACACATTACCAGGTACCTGTAAGAAGGTAATATTTTAAGAGTAATAAAGCTGCACTGTTGTTCCAAATTGTTAAACATGTGTTTTACGATAGTGCCTTAAGAGAGGCCAGATGGTGCTGCTGTACTTGGTGGAATCAGCGGTCTCTAGTTCAGCATATTATCTTGGCTCGCCACTGTTGAGATGTCCACAGAGACAGTGTGTGTTTGAAAATAGAACCACCACCAAATGCATTTGTTTCAGTCTTTTAAAAGCCCCTTATGGTGGGAGTAGTTGCAGGGCCAATCCCTCCATGAGACAAGATGAAACCCTTATGGTGCATGAGGGAGATAATGCAAAGGCCGTCTCTGGTCCGCTTTCGCTTATTGCCTCATTCAAAGCAAGAATGAGGTTTGTGGGTTATGTTGGCTGTAGAGGACAAGCCCATCCATTTCAGCCAAAGATATGGCAGTCATTATCTTTCCATCTTAAGAAGGTGAGACCTCTTTCGCTGCTGGTGGTACTCATAGCATCCTTTGGTGATTTCAAAGGTTTTAAAATAGGTGTGTGTTGAAGCTTCTGTTTTGTTTATCTTCCCCTTACTGTTTCCTAGTTGTGATGATAGACTGCTTGGGCTCTGTAGCCATCATATTTCTAGTACTCACCAACACCCAGAGGGTCAAAATTGTGCCATATCCTTCACCAGCTTTTTCTAAGCAAAAAAGCTGTGTGTAAGAACAAAACTAGACACAATTGTAACAAACCTGTTTGTTGTCGCACAGATCTGTGCCAGTTATGGGCAAAGTAGGGAAGTGAGGGCTTTGAAGTCATGCAGAGATGAAGACCTGAATTTGCCCCACGTTCACCCCTTAGCTCCCCCAAGCGATTTTCCAACCGATAGTTTCATGTTTAGGAATGGAACTCTGCTGAAAGGAAAATTAACTTAAGAGGAGACAAGACACAGAAGAGGGAAAAGATGAGCGGTCTTTATCATCCTTTCCCTCTCATTTTTATAATTGGAGCAGATCAATTTTTAAATGACATAATGTGCCATTATAGCTAGTTGGCTCTTATACTTACTTAATAGCAATGAAGAACAGCAAGCTTGATAAAGTTCCTTGGGGAAGGAAGCATGCCCTTGGAATCCGTTCTCTTGTTCCTGGTAAAGTTTACTGTTTCCACTTATCTGTTTCACACAGCTCATGTGATGCTTAATGGCAGGACTAGGAAATAAGGACTAGAGAACCTTGGGACCTCTACAGTAGCTAAGGACCACGTGCTGCACTCAGCACCATGAAGGGGCAGAGTCATGACATGGAGAGAGTAGTCTCATTTTGGAATATTCAGAAATGATAACCTCTGCATGTAACCTAAAATGGTCAAGGCCAGAATTCTGCCATGCTATGTTCCTGTGTGTTTAGACCAAGCCTTATAACAAAATTATGTGTAGGTTTTGATGCAGGATAAGCCACCTTCACACATGTAGCAGAACGAGGAAGTAGGCTAAAGTGATGAGAAATATAATCCACATGTTGGGAAGATACTATTTTTGATGCTCCTTCATGTTTATTTGTATGGGTGGGTGAACACTGTTTCTCTCTGTGCATATTTCTTCAGAATTTCTTGAATGTTGAGAGAGAAGTATTTCTCTCAGAAGGATATTCAAACATTTTCTGTCTAGTGGGCTTGTTTAGTGTGTCTAGGCAGCTCTAAATCTATGAGGGGATTCAAAAATGGAATTCCACAGCTACACCTGTTCTGTACAAAGAGAAATGAGATGAATCAGTTCTGAAGTATCAAAATAGGCTATACTAATTCAGGCACCTCAGAACTATTCCACGGCATTGCTCTGTAGGTATAGACCAAGCGTGAGAATAATACAACTAATTTTGAGGCCTGCCAGGATTGTAATCTAAAACAGTGAGGAGCCTTCTGCTGTTGCACCAGGATGGAGACCTTAGTTAAAACTTGTCAAAGCTTGCATTGAAACTGTAGCAGAATCAAAAATGAGTAGGGCAAAGCAAGCTGAGGTCCACACACATTTACTCAAAGGACTTCAATGTAATGCTTGGTAGCTTTGTTCCTGTTCCGCACACTCCAGCTGTCTCAGTACAAAAAAAAAGCCAATAATATTGAACATAATTTTTCTACATAAATTAATGGAATTTTAACAAATACTGGCCGGAACCTGGTGGCTAAGGACAGCAAAGTGCACTTGGATAGGCCTGTTGAATCAATGAGGATTTAGTGAGTCAACTTCTGTATAAGTTCCATTGACTCAAATGGGCCTACTCTGTGACATTCTATGCTAATATAAGTCACAGTGATTCCTATTTGAATCAATTGAACTTACAAAGGAGTTGATCAACCAAATCTCTTTTGATTCAATGAGTGTACTCCAGTGCAATTTACTGTGCTAAGCAAGTGAGGGTACTCCGGTGCAATTTACTATGCTAAGCAACAGGATTCTAGCCACTGTTTGCACTTACTCTTCGGATCTGTTCTATAACTCTGCAGGATATAATGTAAAATATTACATACATCCTTTGCCATCTTGGATAGTTCTTTTTAGAACCCTTAATACAATAACAAGATTGCAGTACTGCTGATAACAGAATGGTTTTGTGGTCTATAAGCTTAGCTCAGATCTGTGGAAAGGTTGTGGAACAACTGAAAATAACATAGCATTCTGTGAATACTAGACTATACTTACAGAAATGTGACGTATGTGATTTGATCTGTTGAACACACAAAACATTTATTGAACAGTGTGCTGGCACTTCAGCTGTTCTAAGGTAGTTTGTGATGTGACAGATAGGAGTTTACAGCTTAAATCCTGCTGCTTAGTGTAGTGAGTTGCACTAGAGTAGGCCTATTCAATCACTAAGGATTTGGTAAGTCCACTCTGTAAGTTCCATTGGTTCAAATGGGCCTACTCAACTCTAAGTTCATTGGTTCAAATGGGCCTACTCTAGTTACTACTTGCTAGGCTGAAGTAAGTCACAACTAGAGTAGGTGCATTTGAACCAATTGAGGTTATAATGCAGCTGACTCACCAAATCTCACTGATGCAGTGGGTCTACTCTCGTGAGACTTACTACACTAAGCAACAGAATTACAGCTTGTATTTTAAAACATGTGAGAAAGGCTGCAAGAGCCTCTTTGTTGAATTTTTGGAAGTACAACTACCATAATGCATTCTAATAACCCTCAGCCTGAACCTGGAGAAAACTCAGGATGGGTCTCTTTTTTTCAGACACAGACAAGTGATGCCAGCACCGGGACATAGCTTATATTGTTGTTATGTGCTGTCAAGTCCCCTCTGCCTTATGGTGACCCTATGAATGAGTGACCTCCAAAATACCCTGTCCTCAAATGCCTTGCCCAGCTCTTGTAAACTCTTACTGGAATCATAAACTACCATGATCTTCCGAGGTTCCCTTCATCTCTGTGAAGACCAAAAGAATAAGGTTAACTCTTAAGGACAGATGCAAGAGTAGATGATAGGTGATATGTACATTTATAGACCACAAATTAAAAAAAAATTAAATAATACTGTATTTATTTATATATATACATATATTAACTTATTTAATTTGTATACCACCAATCTGGCTACAAGGCCCTTCTGGGCGGTTCACATCATGACAACACCATAATAACCAACCTTAAATAAGTATGTAAACATCACAGTACTATAAAAATAAGCAATAAACATATGCAGTGGTTAAACTGTACCGCAGCCAAAACTGTGCTCGCGACCTGGGGTTCGATCCCAGGTAGCGGGCTCAAGGTTGACTCAACCTTCTATCCTTCCAAGGTCAGTAAACTGGGGGGGGGGGCAAAGTCTAGCCTGCATAATTAACTTGTAAACCGCCCAGAGAGGGCTTGAAGCGCTATGGGGGGGTATATAAGCAGCATGCTTTCTTTTAAATCTTAGCATACACAATAAGAAACATTTAATATGCAAGCTATCGTAGGTAAATTCTGCTCCTTCAAGGCAAAGTATCCAAAGTCCAAATGTTCATGGCAGGATGGATTTTGCCAGGAAAGTGACTTTTGAATGTAAAATCCGAAAATTCTTGGACTCTGGGGAAAGAATTGAGCCTGACCTAACTGCAGATATTTCTCTAGAGGAAGGGCAACGCCCGGACAATCCTTCTGTGATTCCTACACATGCTTGAAGTTGACAAGCTGCTGAGTCACAGGGAGAGCAGCAAGAGGAAGAAACAAGGTCTGATGTGGGAGAGCAGGACAAGAACTGAGGCCTTTATTTACAAATACTGGCATGCAAGGGCATATCCTTAGTTCTCAGAGACAGGCTCTATCATGGGAGGGCAGAACGACTTGGTTTGCCACATCAAGAGGGGAGGTTTGACAGCCACTGATCTAAGTTTAGCCCTAATGTTATTAGAAAGAATAAATCTGCTAATATTGATTAATATTGTCCATAATTAATATTAAATATTACTAATATTTATTAAATAAGAACTGGGAAGAATAAGCTAGCTATTAAGCAGCTGGGGGGTCTTTTGTTTATGTAACAAGTGAGAAGGAACCAGTCTTCCCTTTCAGGAAGTGAGGTAATAAGGAGGAGGGGCTTTATTGCTTTATGGCTCTACAAAGGGTCAGTGATGAGCAGGTAAGAAGTAGGTAGGGGATGCTGGTGGAACTTGATTAGGTTAAGTGTGCCTTCCTACAACTGGGCGCTCTTCAGATTTTAGTACTACCACTCCCATAGTCCCTCTCTCTGAGAGCTACTGGCTAAGGCTTATGGAAGGAAGGGTCTAAAAATCATATTCCGGGCACCAGACTGGGGGAACACTTAGGTGAGCAAAGAGCTATATGGTCTGATGATACTCATCTACAGCGGTGAGTCCCACTGTGTTTAGTGGGGCCTAGGTTAAGGAGGTAGTGGATTGCAGCTTAAGTGCGTAGGCCTAACAAGGTTGTCTTGTGTGGGATCATGACTACATGTGGGAACAGTAACTAAAGATGGGGGTATTTGTATACGAATATTCCCGCACAGGTGGCGTTAACAAGGGTCCAGCCCCATGGGGCCGGACAGTTTACTCACTGATCCACTGCAGACACGGAC